TGACCACACCCAATACAAATTTGGCAACACAAAAGTCTTTTTTAAAGCTGGCCTGCTCGGTACGTTAGAGGAGATGCGAGATGACCAACTCGCTCGTATCCTCACTGGGATCCAAGCTTACACTCGTGGATTACTGATGAGAGTCGAGTACCAGAAACTGGTGGAGCGCAGAGATGCCCTCATGGTCATTCAGTGGAACCTTCGGTCCTTCCTCGGTGTGAAAAACTGGCCGTGGATGAAATTATTCTTTAAGATCAAACCCTTGCTGAAGAGTGCCGAGTCTGAAAAGGAGATGGCAAACATGAAAGACGAATTCAATAAGTTAAAGGAAGCTTTGGAGAAATCTGAGGCCAGGAGGAAAGAGTTAGAAGAGAAAATGGTCAGTCTGCTCCAAGAGAAGAACGACTTGTTCCTTCAGCTGCAATCTGAGCAAGACACCCTAACTGACGCCGAGGAACGATGCGAACAGCTCATAAAAAGCAAGATCCAGCTAGAAGCCAAAGTCAAAGAGCTGTCAGAACGTATAGATGACGAGGAAGAGGTAAATGCAGACCTCACAGCTAAGAAACGCAAGTTGGAGGATGAATGTTCTGAGCTCAAGAGAGATATAGATGACCTGGAGTTGACACTGGCCAAGGTGGAAAAGGAAAAACATGCCACTGAGAACAAAGTAAAGAATCTGACTGAGGAAATGGCATCCCTTGATGAAAACATAATGAAACTCACCAAAGAGAAAAAAGCTCTACAAGAGGCTCACCAGCAAACACTGGATGACCTTCAAAGTGAGGAGGACAAAGTCAATGCATTGACAAAAGCTAAAGCTAAGCTTGAACAACAGGTGGATGACCTTGAGGGCTCACTGGAACAGGAAAAAAAAGTTAGGATGGACTTGGAGCGCAGCAAGAGAAAACTGGAAGGAGATGTAAAACTGACTCAGGAGAATGTAATGGACTTAGAGAATGACAAACAGCAGCTAGAGGAAAAACTTAAAAAGAAAGACTTTGAAATAAATCAGCTGAATGGAAAGGTTGAAGATGAGCAAACGGCTTCAGTGCAGTTGCAGAAAAAATTAAAAGAAAATCAAGCTCGAATCGAAGAACTGGAGGAGGAGCTGGATGCGGAACGTGCGGCTCGTGCGAAGGTGGAGAAACAGCGATCTGATATTTCCCGAGAACTGGAAGACATCAGCGAGCGCCTGGAGGAGGCAGGTGGGGCAACATCCGTTCAGGTAGAACTCAGTAAAAAAAGGGAGGCTGAGTTTCAGAGGTTACGGCGGGACCTCGAGGAATCCACCCTCCAGCATGAGACCACTACCGCCTCTCTTCGGAAGAAGCATGCAGACAGTGTTGCTGAACTAGGGGAACAGATCGATAATTTGCAAAGGGTAAAACAAAAGTTAGAGAAAGACAAAGTTGAATTGAAGCTGGAATTGGACGACCTTTCCTCAAACATGGAGAGCGTTGTAAAGGCCAAGGTAAATCTTGAAAAGATGTGCCGTTCACTGGAAGATCAGATGAATGAGCATAGGTCGAAGTCTGAAGAAGCCCAGAGAGCTCTTAATGACTTGTCTACCCAGAAAGCCAAGCTGCTGACTGAGAATGGGGAACTTGGACGACAAATGGAGGAGAAGGAATGTCTGATTTCCCAACTCACTAGAGGAAAGACTTCCTACACACAGCAACTTGAAGATCTGAGGAGGCAACTTGAGGAAGAGGTGAAGGCAAAAAATGCTCTTGCTCACGCTGTCCAGTCAGCCCGTCATGATTGTGACTTGCTAAGAGAGCAATTCGAAGAGGAACAAGAAGCAAAAGCTGAGCTCCAACGAGCCTTATCAAAGGCCAACACAGAGGTAGCAACGTGGAGGGCGAGGTATGAGACTGACGGCATTCAGAAGACTGAGGAACTGGAGGAAGCCAAAAAGAAACTTGTTCAGAAATTGCAAGAAGCAGAGGACGCAGTGGAAGCAGTGAATGCAAAGTGTTCTTCTCTTGAGAAAACAAAACATAGGCTACAAAATGAGATCGAAGATCTGATGCTAGACCTCGAACGGTCAAATGCGGCGTCTGCCGCCCTGGACAAAAAACAGAGGTCATTCGACAAAGTCATCGCAGAGTGTAAGCAAAAGTATGAAGAGTCACAATGTGAGCTCGAGGCAGCGCAAAAGGAAGCTCGCAGCTTAAGTACCGAGCTCTTTAAGCTAAAGAATTCCTATGAAGAAACTCTGGATCACCTCGAGACCATCAAGAGGGAAAACAAGAATCTACAGGAGGAAATCTCTGACTTGACGGATCAAGTGGGGGAAGGACGAAAGAGTGTCCATGAGTTAGAAAAACTGAGGAAACAGTTGGAACAGGAGAAAGCCGAGTTGCAGTCCGCACTAGAAGAAGCCGATGCTTCGATTGAGCACGAGGAGGGTAAGATCCTACGAGCTCAGCTGGAGTTTAACCAGATGAAGGCAGATGTGGAGCGTAAGATGGCTGAGAAGGATGAGGAAATGGAACAAGCTAAGAGAAACTACCAACGCATGGTTGAGTCCTTGCAGGCTTCTCTCGAGGCAGAGACGAGAAGCCGTAACGAAGCCTTGAGAGTAAAAAAGAAGATGGAGGGAGACCTTAATGAAATGGAAATTCAATTAAGCCAGGCCAACAGACAGGCATCTGATGCCCAGAAGCAGCTGAAGATGGTCCAGTCTTGCCTTAAAGACACTCAACTCCAGATGGACGACACCCTTCACAGCAATGATGATCTCAAAGAAAACATTGCCCTGTTAGAGCGGAGGAACAACCTGATTCAAGCAGAACTAGAAGAGCTGAGAGCCGTGCTGGAACAGACAGAGAGGGTTCGCAAACTAGCAGAGCAAGAACTAACCGAAGCAACTGAGAGGATGCAACTCTTGCACTCCCAAAACACTAGCCTCATCAACCAAAAGAAGAAGCAAGAGTCAGATCTGCTTCAGCTGCAAAATGAAATGGAGGAGCTGGTGCAAGAGAACCGCAATGCAGATGAAAAGGCGAAAAAAGCCATCACTGACGCCGCTATGATGGCTGAGGAGTTGAAGAAAGAGCAAGACACCAGTGCACACCTAGAAAGGATGAAAAAGAACATGGAACAGACCATTAAGGACTTACAGCACCGTCTCGATGAAGCCGAGCAAGTCGCTATGAAAGGAGGGAAGAAGCAGCTACAGAAAATGGAGGCACGTATCCGTGACCTTGAGAATGAGTTGGACGCAGAGCAAAAGCGAGGATCTGAGGCCATTAAAGGTGTGAGGAAGTACGATCGACGCATTAAGGAGCTGACTTATCAGACAGACGAGGACCGCAAGAACTTAGCAAGGCTGCAGGACTTGGTGGACAAGCTGCAACTGAAAGTAAAATCCTACAAGCGCTCTGCCGAGGAAGCCGAGGAACAGGCGAATGCCAACTTGGCTAAATTACGAAAACTGCAGCACGAGCTAGAAGAGGCAGAAGAGCGCGCAGACATCGCAGAATCTCAAGTAAACAAACTGCGTGCTAAAACAAGAGATGGAGTACCTGGGAAGAAATCCCTGGATGAGTAATGTTCGGTCTTGAGTACCTAGATTTGTTTGTTCACTCGTTTTAAGATTAGCACATCTACAAATACACCTTATTTGAGACCTCTAAAGCTTTAAATATTAAGTCAAACCATAAATGGCCACGAATTTTGGTGTCCGCGTAAAATTTAATTTTCTATACAAAAAAAATGTATTATTTGTTTTTTTGGCATTTTTAAATACATGTTGGCTGTGTTTTATTACAAGGACTGTGGCTTGCTGTTTTTTTTATATTGAAATAACCAGGGGACTTTTGTCCTGAACATGCAGTAAGAGGTCATTCAGTATTAAAAGAAACAAGTAGCCGTTCTAAAATAATTTACAGACGTACCAGATGTGGGCCGGATCTGGGCCGACTATTACTGTCTGGATTAGCACTTATGAGTAAAACTTAATAAATATTACTCTTTCAATGCATTTTTGTATTGTTTTATTTATCTTATTGATTTGTTTGAGATGCCCACAAATAGAGAGGCCATAGATTCGATTCTTCACCCAAAATACCCATCTTGATAATGTTGGCAAACAAAAAGTATTCATAAATATAGCTAAAAGGAGTCATTTTGTGGCTGAGCAAGTCAGAAACAAAGTGAAAGCTATGCAAGCATGGCAGGGAGCATCAGAACAGAAAAATAAAATGCTTATAATTTTTAACATCCGCTTCTGCCGTCATTTACCCAGGAATATTATTAAAACTATTTGGATGATACAGACTGATAATAAAAACATTGCAATTATCTCTTTTTGGTAAAAGGTTATTCAGAGTAATTATATACATTTATGTACAATATACTTATTCTGACCTGTAGTTATTAAAATAGATATAAAAGAATATGTGATCATATTAAATTAATATATTTTGAAACGTTTTTCACTTTCTTACACAAACATCTTGCTGGCAAATGGGTAAAATCTAGTGGTTTTACGGATAGTGTTAAAAAGAATAGAGATTTAAAGTCCCCCTGTGGTGAAAACCAAGTGTTTAATGTTGTTTATGTGGTCTTTTTAATACGTTTTAATACAAATCATGTTTAAGTACATAAGTCGACAACATATTTTCTGCTTAAAACTGCAGTGAACCAAAGACGGTCTCAAAAACACGCTTTGAAATCGACCTTGTAATCAATCAGATCAACGTGTGATTGTCAACCAGTGGATCTCTGAGTGAGGGTATTTTTCAAGATATTTTAACGCATGAAAAAATTTTGATTATTGAAGAACTTTTCGTCTTTGACCCAAATGTGATTGAACAAGAACATTACACAATCACTCAAGACTGAAATTTTTGCATAGAATTTGAAATGCACTTACATGTTAAAACCAAAATAAAAGAAAATGCTTTTAAATCACAAATCTTATTCTTGTTCATCACATTAGAATATAAGGCAACAACTTATATATGAAGACAAAAAAAAGACAATACACATCAGTTATCCCGTTTATTTTCACATTTTATTTTATCTGACCAAAAGCAATTGAAAAACTGTTTCAGGCCAACCACATTTCAAATGGGAGCAGCATTTCATACAAAAATAGGACAAACATGTGACCATCTCTTCAACAGTGACGACAAACTGGAAAAAGAAAAATCTACAACTATTCAAATTAAAATCATTTCAACACTTCTGCAACTCAAAAACAACTTATTTACATTTCTCACAGAAGATATCACGTTTCAAAGCATCTCTCTCTATAAACTTCCCTTTTTATCAAACGCTACATATTTACATTTAATACAATCCATTACCGTTACAAAAAGAGCAGCATTTCTTTAAAAGCCGTTCTATACGCTTCCTTTCCAATCGCGTGTTTTAGTCTGACATATTTACACATCTTTCAATATGCAGAGAAAATTCAAGCCTCTGTATATACATACAAACATAAAATATCTATTGATTTTACAAACTGACAAACTTCAGTAAATCAAAAGACGTGACTAAAACACAGCAGTTTGTTTTTCATAGTAACAGCAGTATAGATGGTTACACTGGGCCAGATATCCCAACAATTTAATAAGTTACAGAAAACATGCAAATATTGCAGTCATTTTGTAGATCATACATCATAAACCATTGGGGAGGAGACGCACGGACCAAAACCTTTAGTTCTTTCTCTTTTTTTCCAACCAAATTAGGTTTTAAGTTAATACAATTCAAGTAGACAGTAAGAAACTTTGGGGTAAGATCAGCAAACATAACTGGGGGTGTGTCTACCATATTCATTGCACAAGATGAGATCAGTTTAACTCTGGGCCAAGATATCCCAACCTTTTCACCAGCAGCTTCAACTAGAAAGAGTAAAAGAATAACTAAAAGAATAAAAAAGGCCTTAATAACAAAGACTAAATTCCCCAGTGACAGAATCACATTTGTCAATCAATGTCTAGGTGGGATTTAGAGTACAATGAGATGACATCAAATGACCCATTACACTATGACCTAAGCCATTACAGTCTTGCTTTCACTTGCATGGACCTAAAAATGCGGTCCGACCAGACTAAAGTTAAGTTCAGACCTTCAACACAGCAAAAAAATTCCCAATTCAAAGCAAGTTTTTCTAGTTCTGCCAAGAAAAAATCAAAGGTGCCAACAGTGACAGACTTTCAGACGTCGGACTCTTACTTTAGCCGTTCTCGTAAGGCAGAAACAGGGAACGATTCTTAAATATATAAAAAAATATATTTACAAATGCAGATCTCAAGTCATTTTACAGGGTTAACAGTGGACAGACGTGCAGCGAACTGTTTGATTAGTAACAAGTGCTCTACTTCAAGACTAAGTCTGAGATGAGAGTGACCCGAGAAAGTTACTCACAGGCTGGACGGCTGCGTTTGTATCGGGGCGTGATGAGGAGCCGTCTCGCAATCTTTAGGAGCTTCGTCCGAGCGTACGTACAAAAGGAAGAGGGTGACCGTGGCGAACGTTGCAGCGTTGACCGGGAAAGCCCGAAGGAGAGTGGAAGTCAGTCCGCGAGTGAAAACTCGCCAGCCTTCGCGCTGGATGCTCTTCCTCGTGCAGTCCATAATGCTGCTGTATTGGTACTTCCCCCCAACGCCGTCGGCCTGGAGCCGGGATTTAATCACATCCACGGGATACGTGGAAAGCCAAGACGCGATTCCCGACATCCCGCCGGCGAACAGGAGTTTGGGAATCATATACGGATCCTCCGGTTCGCAACCAAGCGAGCGCGTCAGGAGGTCGTACGCTAGGAAGTAAACGCCGAATCCTGGCGTCTCGCGGATTAGAGTCGTGACCATTCCTCTGTTGACGCCACGTATTCCCTCGCGCTGGTAGATGCGAGCGAGGCAATCCAAAGAGTTTTTATACACTTTCCGCGAGGATGACTTCTTCTCGCCCGTCCCTTGCATCTGCATCCGGGTTTTGGCCAGCTCCATCGGGCAGCAGATCACGCACTGGATGGTGCCGGCCGCCGCTCCGGCGAGGAACTGGTTCAGGGGCGTGTCTTCGCCCAACCTGCGCATGGTGTTGCCCTGCACGCCGAAGACGATGGCGTTGATGAAGGTCAGACCCATCATGGGCGAACCAATGCCTTTATAAAGGCCAGACACCTGTGGGAAAGGGTGAGCATAACGTCACGTCTCATTTATACAGCGCTTTTAACAATGATAACAGGAGATTACCGTAACACTGATTGTTATCCAGAGAACTTGAATAAAGTTATTGTCCAGATAGAGTTAGTTTTGATTGATTCACCTCCGTTGTAAAGATCGTTAGTAATTAACGTAACACGACTCTAAAAGAAAACATGTAAACTCTGTCAGTAATGACTTGTTCAACCCCGTCACACTTTCCTTCATCTTCAGATATTTAAAGGGATAGTTCACTTTGAAATTAATTTTTGATATGTTTTATCTTACCTCAAGGGTATCTAAGATGTAGGTGTCTTTGTTTCCACAGTATTTTCAATTTTGACATTTTTCAGTCAAACCGTTGTTGTCTATCAGTCATAGACTGGAGGCTAAGGGGGTCTACCAAAGAGCAGCACAGAGAAGTCCAAATTAAACATGATTTAATGACTCGTAAATGTAAGTACACACTGATGGCCTAAGACACGAAACGAGCGGTTTGTGTGAGAAAACCAACAGTATTTATATCGTTTTTACCTCGTGTGATCACAGTGATCTGAATCAGTTGTTCCGAACTGAACCGAACTGAATCAGTTCAATGTTACGCCGGAAGTGATCGCTTGCGTGTGACGTCACTCAGTATTTACACGGAGATTTCGGAAGTTTTACCTTTTACTAAACATATTTAGATATACCGAAATCGTCTTCCATTGCGGTTTCCCGTATATCTAAATATGTTTAGTGAAAGGTAAAACTTCCGAAATCATGTATGAACAAAGAGTGACGTCGGTGCGCAAGCGATCACTTCCAGAATGACTAACAGAAAGTTATTAAAGACATCGTTAAAATAGTCCGAGTGACGACAGCGGCTCAACCTTCAGTTTATCAAGCGGCGAGAATACTTTCTGTGCGTAAAAAACACACAAAAATAACGACTTTATTCAACTCTTCATCTTCTCGAGTGAATTCACGTAGTGTAACTGTGCGTTCACAAAAGAGGCGTCTAGTTATACGCTTGAACACTTTGAATTCATTCGTGCGTCAAGAGCGAAATTGACACGTGTAAAAAAAAAAGTTTGAAGCGAAATTTACGCGCATCGGAGTCGAAACCCGTTGGCGGCCATCTTTTTATGTTATTCAAGCATTCATTGAGAGTGGGGATCATCGTCGGCGTATTTGTGTCCACCGGACCCTTCGGAGGCGAACCGTTTGGCGAGTTTCACCATTTGCTCGCTCCAGGAGCTGCGCTGGATGACAGCTCGTTTATCAAAATGAGTCATTTGCTCAATTCAACGAACGAAATGAACGAATTGCCACAGAAAAAGATTTGTTTATTTTGATAAACAACTTCGAACAGGAGAGTCACGAACAGAGCAAGGCGAGCATTTGAGCTTATAAAACTTAAACTTTGTTATTTATTTTTTTAAATGAGCGATCGTTTCGCTTGATAAGACCCTTATTCATCGTCTGGTGTCGTTTAAAGCCCTTTGAACAGTTTGCACTGAAACTGTCTTTTGGGCCTTGAGCCGTTTGGTCCCCATTGAAGTCCATTATATGGAGAAAATCCTGGAATGTTTTCATCAAAAACCTTCATTTCTTTTCGACTGAAGAAAGAAAGACATGGACATCTCGGATGACATGGAGGTGAGTAAATTATGTGCAAAAGTTTTTTTTAAAAGTGAACTACTCCTTTAATGAACCCTGCAGACAGCAACATACTGTAGTGTGGGTCCAGTCCAAATATCAAACAATTCTTAAATCAAGATGGATTATATAAGAAAGTGAAATGACAAATGATATCATGTCTTGTTTTCTGGGGGGAAATAAAAAACAAGTGAGTTTTTGCTTAAAACAAGCAAAATGATCTGACAATGGGGTTAGAAAAATAATCTTGTTTCCGTTTGAATTAAGATGATTTTTCTGACCTCATTGGCAGATAATTAAGCTTGTTTATATAAAAAAAAAAACTCACTTCAATTTGATTTCTCGCCCCAGAAAACAAGACTTAGATATTTGGACTGGAAACAAGACAGAAATGCTGAGTAAGAAAAGCCTTTTTTGTGGTGCGAGTCCACATGTCCCAGATGTGGGCCGGATGTGGGCCGACACTACGCTCTCTCTGGGAAACTCAATGACACTATAGCCTTTTTAGAGACGCTTTACAGCAGAATTTGAATAACTCTCATATAGTCTTGTGAAGGTTGAATCATTGATGCTGTTTTTCCCTGTTAATTACTGTGATGCTGCTTTGAGAGCATTTGAACAGTAGAAAGCTCTGTAGAAATACAGGTGAATGTAGAAATAAAGGTCAATGTAGAAATAAAGGTGAATGTTGCGGCTGTGCTTCTTCCACTGCGGTCGAATGCGACCTAGATTTGAACATGTTCTCACACACAGATTTGGGTTTTGGTGTCAGAGTGAAAAGGCGGGAAAAAGTTACTAAAATGGAGCTTCTTAATTCACTAAAAATACTGAATAATTCCTGAGCAATATAATAATACATTTAATTTATATATACACTACTGTTCAAAAGTTTGGGGTTCAAAAGGGTTCAAGTTTGGGGTTCACTGTTCAAAAGTTGTGTTTTTTTCAAAAAAAAAAACTTTTTATAAGACAGCAAGGCTGCTTTAATTTGATCAAAAATACTATAAAATTGACAAAATATTATTCAGATGTAAAAAGCTGAATATACAGTAAAGTGTAATTTATTCCTGTGAATTTTCAGCATCATTACTCCAGTCTTCAGTGTCACATGATCCTTCAGAAATCACTCTAATATGAGGATCTGATGATCAAGACACATTTATGTTATTATAAATTTAATGCATCCTTTTTTAATAAAAATATTAATTTCTATATATATATATATATATATATATATATATATACAGAAAATCATAAAGTAAATGTGTATAATATCTTAATATATATGCCTTATGGTCACATTTAGTACTTTATACATCAAAAATATAGAAATAGTATAAATATATAATATTATAAAGCAGCTTCACAGTGAAAAAACACTGCATTAAATATGAGACTGATTGAAATTGAGCTGTGGATACTAGTGTCATTATTCAGCTTAGTGTTGAACACATGAACATGTAAACAGAAGAATGTAAGTATAAGTGTGTATATATATATAGTGTGAATATAAGTGTGGACTCACAGACTCTTGCCGTATGATGGACTGGAAACAGTGAAAGGTTCCTCGGTAAAGAGGTTTATCCACACTCTGGACCTGCAGTCGAACCTACAGGACACACAGTCTGGTTACACACACCTTCAGTGTTTATCACAATAGATGAAACGCAGAGCACTCCAAACACGCCGGGTTGTAGGAAAAGCTGCAGTTTCAAACTTTGTAAGAAGAAATCCCACAAAAAACTTACTGTCACTGGATAAAAAGACATGTGTGAATCTGTAAAGAAGGTAATATGCTGCCGTATACATTAAAAACAATGTAATCGTTCACTTATTATTTTGTGCCAAGGAGGTTTTTTCCAAGTAGGGCCTGAATATTCAAGACAAGCAAGTAGACCGTAATAAAAAAAAAAAAAAAAAAAGCTTCATAACAAATAATACATGAACAATTAAAACAAATTACAAATGAAGATAAGAGTCTTTTTTTTTTTTTTTTTAGGTATTTAACAGCAGTATTAATAATCATATTGTATAATCCAAATTTAAAAAACATGTATTTGCATTAGATACAATGCATTTAATGTACAGTTGAAAATATATAATTTATAATATTGGATAAAATAGTATAATATATATTCTCAATAATCATATAAAAATTACATAACTAATATTCATTTATATACAAATTTATACAAATATAAAATACTTATATATATACAAATATAAAATACTTATATATATATATATATATATACACACAAATATGAAATACTTATATATATATATATTTTTTTTTATTATATATATATATATATATTGCAACATAAACAAGGCAATTATTCAGATTTCACAACACATTCGCCCTAAGTTATCAACATCGCTGTGTTTAGCCAGTAGCACACCGCGGGTATGATGAGCTTTCACAGAATGATCTATGTTTAAGTCACAGGGTTCAGAAACGGATATGATCGAGTAAAGTGTCATGGCGGACAACAACCTCGCGCCGCTAATGCCAGACAGAAATACCAATGATGAGCGTTTGCTCTGAGGAGTCAACAGGGAGGACGTACCTTCACCGTGTCGAAGGGATGTCCGACGAGAACACCGGCAGCTCCTGAACACACACACACACACAGGAGTTTAGAGGATTCATGACAAAACAATGGATATTTATGTCAAACAATATTATGAAACTATTAGCGCTGGACAACGAGTAATCACATCCAAAATTAAAGTTTGTGTTTACATAATATATGTGTGTGTGTACGGTGTATAATTATTTTGTAATATATACATGTATACATTTAACAAAAATTTTATTATTTATATATTAAATATTATATGATGTATAAAGTATATACATGCATATTTCTAAAATATATACATGTATATGAGTGTATTTATATATACAAAATAATTATACACATACACACATACATATACACATATACATATATACATACATATATATATGTTATGTAAACACAAACTTTTATTTTTGGTCATGAGCACAGCTATACATGGACAACAGAGTTAGATCTGTGTTTTAGAGCCACACTTGTTGGACTGGAAATCTCACATGAGGTTCGAGTTACTCTCAGTACTACACAAACACACACACACGCACAATCAAAACCAAAGGCGTCGGCCAGGCCTGACCAATCAGCACGCAGCATTCACTACACACTCACGTCATCAGGGTTACAGTGTGATGACGGTGATGTTCATTAAATATTTGCTGCTGCTACGAAAATTAAAACATAATCGGAAATGTGATTCATTTACAGTCCATTTACCCGAATCAATCACGCGTTCACGAAAGTCTCTGTGTGCGTGGAATATTTTATGTTAAAAATATATTTAAAAATGTGCAGGTAAATAGGGGTTTAGTATTGTGTATTGGTGCACATAAAAAAATATTAAATATAGCATTAAATTGAGTAAAAAACTGTGCAAATTTGCAATTTGTTTAAATAGATTTTATTTGTAATATATTTGTGTGTTTATGGCATGCATTTATATATAATATAAATTATCCAATTATTTATCATATATATATATATATATATATACACACACATTAACTTGTATGTTTTTTATGCATTTATATACACATTTATATACAAAAAATTCTGAGTTGTTTTAACCCAATTTTGGGTCAAATATGGACAAACTCAAACATTGGGTTAAAAATGTCATTTACAAATGTAACTCAATGGCTGTCCATATTTGACCCAAAATTGGGTTAAAACAACCCAGCATTTTTTACAGTGTACATAAAAGTATATTATATTTTTTAATTATATTATAATTATATTATATTTATACACACACACACTTAATATTATAAATAGTATATAATTATATATATATATATATATATATATATATATATTAAAATCTTTGCTTATGTTGTGCTGAAAGTGTTAAGGCATCCGACTGGACACTGACGGTGATATAGATATCTGAATTATGGCTGAACTCCTGTTAAGGCAGTATTTTAGTATAAACACTGGTCATAATCAAACCAAAACAAAGATAATAACTCATATTCGCTGTATGTCTATATTTAATTTCTTCATTCGGCCAAAAACAACAACAACACAGAAAACAGTACAGGTAAAACATGATCCACCCGACCGGTTTACTCGTGATTACTGTACTCCATTTACAGTCTCTTTTTAATGATTGGCCTTATGTATTAATCAAACATTTCTGCTTGCTATTTGGGGAATGAAGCGAATGCTGTGATTGGTCGAACTCTCTATCATTGATTTGTGTACTGCGCGTTCACAGAGGTTTTACATTTACATGTATGCGTTTATCCAAAGCGACTTACATTGTATTTCAAGGTTCTGACTTTCTCAGGGAATCGAACCCATGACCTTGGCGTTGCGAGCGCCATCGCTGTACTGTTTGAGCTTCAGGAAAGCTGTGTTAGCATCTATATCGTACATGATCTGCACATCATTTATAAACATAGGAAAACATGAACGCTGTGCTGATCCACCCTACTGTGTTCCAGCACTTCTGAAGCGCTGTGAAATGAAACACAAGCCGATATGAAGGCGCAGCCCTCGTCCAGCCGCTGGATTGGCTCACGCAGGGGTGTGTGTGTGTCCCGGGAGTTTAACTGGACATGGACGGGTTATTCTGGGATGTTCTGGGAAACATTTCACAGCATGTCTGTTATTTGCACAAGAGAATAGAAGGACTTCAAGGAGGCTTCTAGGTTACATAGTCATTCAGAAATCAATCATAAGCTCTCACTTGGACTATGCCATTTTCAGACAATTAGTTATCCATGACCCCAAAGACATATATTCATGATCCATCAACGCTTTATGATGCGCTTACATTACAGTAGCGTTTAAAATTAATGTTCTATTTGTTGTAGCGAATGAAACACATTGATTGATTCCTTGAATGTGTGTATATTCGTTCAGCTATGCACAGTACATTACATTACACGTGACATCATCTTATCAAAGGTTTAAATGTAAACAGCCTTTCAGAAGAACGTTGACATTGTAACCAGATTTAGAACGTCACAATCAATCAGTCACAATGTAACATTCCACTCCTTCGAACGCAGCAAAACAGAATTCCATCACGTGACATCAACTACTTCAACATAAACTAACGGTCAATACTTGTTGTTGTTGTTGTTTGTTTAGATAGCTAAACAAATATTAAGTTATAGGCAGATAGATGACAGAATATTAATTCTTCAATTATATTAGCTCTTTAGCACATTATAGATCTTAATACTAGGCATTTCAGAAATACAATAAACAAAAACTCAACCGTATCACGTGTCCTGTTTGACGTGGCATCCCGCCACACTACAAATAATTCAGCATGTGTGAATAAATCGATCCGTGAGTGACATTACTGAAGTTCAAAATAAACTTAATACACACGCATGATTAATTTCTGCACATCACCGGATCTGATTACAAGTCTATCTAATTTGACCCATCTGCTGGCCACAAGCCCTCGCGCACAGGACGAGGGTTAACAGCCCCTCTTAACGAGCTTAACCGAGTCTTAATCTACTGATTCACACCACAGACATGACATGAATGTACTCGACTGTCTCCTGTGCTAGTAGTGATGTATCTTACCTCCTAAACAGCCAGCAAGGAAGTCCATCACTGCTTCGAGCTGGCAGAAAGCTTCCACAGACGAGCTCAGAGATGTGTGTGTGTGTGTGTGAGTTACTGTACTGTGCTCAGGCCTGTCCTGTGAGAGAAACTCGCTGTCGGGCACGAGCTCTGCGCTGACTCGAGCTCTCTAATCAGGTCGTAGTGGAAAATTTCACCTGCTCGCTTGACCACAGCCTGCTGGCGTCCCTGTCTATTTGTGTCCGGGCTTCTGATGGCTGCAGGAGGTGTGTGTGCGCGCGCCCAATCGCCACCCGCGGATTTAAAAAAGAATTCCTGTTCCTCCGGTGACTCTTTGCTAGGGCGAAGGCGTGTTGTAGCCTAAATATTCACAGTCAGTTCATTTCTATTGGATGGTTAACAAATACGTCATCACTAGGTTTTTAATATTCAGAAGCCAATCCTTCGCAATAGTAAGTTTCGTAATTAATATTCACGCTCTCGCCCTCGCCGTAGTAGGGCTCGGCGTTTTGGGAGTCGGTTCGTTCGGACGGTTCATTTCAAGTGAATCGCTCGACTGATTCGGTTTTAACTCAATAAAATGTTTCCTTTTTTTAAAGATAAATAAATATGTGGTATACTGCTATTGTGGCCGATATATTTCTAGATCGTAGTTCGTCTATTAGCTTGCGCACTTCGTGTGAACACTTTGCGAATCGATTCAATAGAATCTTTCGAAAAGAATCATGTCAAAAAGACTCATTGGACTCGTAATTTCTCTTCCGCGTTGCATCAGCATGTGTTTATGTCTTCTAAAGGCGAATGGTGCAATGCGTGTACGAATGAATTCACTCTGTCTGTAACTAATTAAATAAAGGTTTATTCATCAAATTCGCAACAATGCAACTGTAATGTAAATGAACTCGCATGATAAAAATAACAAAATGACGAGTTGTAAAGTCAAATAAAGTTGAAGGATAAAATAGAGTTAGCGTATTTAACATGCACGACCGTAAATAAAAAGCAAGTTTCTCATTATTGCTGTTAAATCGGAACATGCATGAAGAAGCTGCATGTGTCTGCTGAACCACGTGAGAATGAGGAACTGTTACAAAAGGACTCGCTAGACTGCAGATCTGCGACCTCTACGCGATCATGTCAGCGCATTACACAAGTGTCCATCAGGACAGAAGCAGCAATAATGTCATAGGCTGCAGGTACAGCAGTTTCAACGATGCATTTCGCCGACTTCCTCGCAGGATCAGTGGGAGGTAACTTAGGCTATATAAAGTTTAAAGACTGTTGTTCAATTCTCAGTTATGTATTAGAAATTATGATTTGAGATAATGTTAAATGCTCTTGGGATCGGTGTTTTGTTTTGAGACAATGAGAAAATGTAGGCTATATAGACTATAGCATAACTTGTTGCATTAAAGGAAGGAATAATAGCCTACATTTATCAGTATATGATCCATGGGAAAGAGAGAGAAACCAATAAAAATATGTAAATGCGTGACGCAGCAAGAGAATTTAATACCCCAATTGATGAATGAATGAAAATGCACCATTGCAAATGTATATTGGAGAGTTTCATTAGACATAAAGTGCCTCAATTGAACCATTTCATGGATGCAATATTTACAGCAATGAATGAGTTAAAACTAGTGAAACTATTCTCATCTCAATAGTTTGGCATGGAATCTAGGCTATTATATATATATATATATATATATATATATATATATGTGTGTGTGTGTGTGTGTGTGTGTGTGAAGAGTTCAGATGCAAAAGCCTCTAGGTGCCATTTGAAATTTTCTTCTAGAATGATCATTTTTATCAAGCTTGTATATTTAAGTTCAGTGATTTCACTTAAATGGCAATGATAATTACCTATTAATTGTTATTTAAGCGAAATTACTGAACTTAAATATACAAGTTTGATAAAAATCATCATTAAAGAAGAAAATTTCAAATGGCATTTAGAGGCTTTTGCATCTGAACTCTTCATATATATATATATATATATATATATATATATATATATATAGCCTATATCAATATCGCGATTAATCGCATCCAAAATAATTCACTTCAGGTCTTAAGCCCCCACTAATGATCTGATGAGCTGATTTAGGTGTGTGTGCGTGTGTTTATCAAGAGATTGAACATGTTGAACAGGATTGGGTTAAACTTGTTCTTATTGGGATTGGGTTAAACTTGCATTATTATTACATACAGGTGGAATTTGAAAAATCAGAATATGGTGCAAAAGTTCATTTATTTCAGTAATTCAACTTAAAAGCGTTAACAAATATATTGCATAGGCCCATTACATGCAAAGTGAGATATTTCAAGACTTTATGTGTTATAATTGTGATGATTATGGCTCACAGATATGAAAACCCCAAATTAAAACTTAGAATAATGTGAAAAGGGTTTCATATCTGTTCATATATGAATATATATCCATAATCGTCACAATTACAACACATACAAATCTCACTTTGCATGTGGGTCTATAATCTATTAGTTTCACCTTTTAAGTTGAATTACGTAAATAAATGAACTTTTGCTCCATATTCTGATTTTTCGTGTTTCTCGTGTAAGGCGATACGAAGCGGTCCTGTTGATGATCTGTTGTTTTGCAGGAGCGTGTGGCGTTGCGGTCGGATATCCACTGGACACGGTCAAAGTAAACTCATTTCACCTGCACTATTGAACTGTTTGGCTTACAATATCCAAAAACCACTGGAACAATGTTATATATTTAGTTGAGTTGTGTACTAACTGTACATTTTCACTAATGTTTCCGACAATCCAGAGAAATCAGCCGCTTTAACGAGTAAACGGCCCTGATGTCATATCCACGTTGACCTCCTCGATTTACACTTTTGTAGAAACCATCAAAACGCTTGCGTGTTTTATTAGACAGATGAGCAAAACTAATCATCATAGCTCAAGAAAGTTATTTTTTGAATATTTTGTTGTTTATTGTTTCACCGCAAATCACGTTTGTACCCAAAAAGTAAATCAGAAAGCTGTAGGCTATTTGTGGTAACAATAATCCAATGTTGTTAAATGGCATGCAATTCATTTTACAACAGAGTCATTCGGCTTTTATTAATATGATATTCTAATATTGACCTGGTGCAAAGTGCAACAAGTTACGATGCAACAAGACTTTCAACGCACTCGCATGTATTTTTTAGCATGATTGTTTTGATCGAGGGAAACTCACCCAAGACCCAACTATTTAAATTTATCAAACAAAGTGACATGAATTAATAATTTAGCCTGTTTCAATAGAATATAATAAAATAATGTACATTTAAGCGATCAAACATATTTCACAGATTTCACAAACTTGTTACTGTTTTAGCGTGTCCTCCACACTTGAGTGTGTGTGTGTTGGACTTCTGCAGGTCCGGATCCAGACTCAGAAACAGTTCACGGGAATCTGGCAGTGCATCGTAATGACCCTCAAGAAAGAAGGGGTGAGAAATTTACATCTGTGTTCAATGTTTAATGCACCATCCTAATGTCATTCCCGTGATGCAGTGTTATTAAAGTATCTTTCAGATAATATTAGTTTTTTATTTACATTTTGAATTAATTTCAATTGAATTTTAGTAATTTTGTTTTGGTCTTTTTTATTAGTTTTTAATTTTTTTTATACATTTAAAGTAACAATTTTGTGGGTTACACATTATTTTATGGTCTATGACTAGAATTTGGTTGAGGGTTGCATGTAATTATGCATAATTTACTGTTATTACAATGGTAAGTGCACGGTAAGCTCCATGAGAGCACTACCAGAGAGTTAAATAAGTAATCTAGATCCAGTTACTAACTACAATTTTTTCATGTATCAGCAACTTTACTTATATAGCATATTAATGAGCAACAGACGCTGCTTTACAACGACTATAGTTTGCTAGTACTGATGAATGTTCAAGTTTCTGCGTATACTAACAGAGATGTGTATTTCTGTCCGGATGTTGCTCCAGGTCCAGGGCTTCTTTAAGGGAATGGCTTTGCCCGTCACCACTATATCCATGACCTCGTCCGTGGTGTTCGGCACGTACCGGAACTGTCTCCAGTGTCTCGCTCGGCTCCGCGGGACCGGCGCGCACAACTCCAAATTGGACATCTTCCTGTCCGGCATGGCGGGCGGTGTGGCTCAGGTCAGATGAGCTTCTTCAGTCAAGAAGAGCACCAGGAGCTTAAAGGGTTAGTTCACCCAAAAATGAAAATTAAGTCATTAATTACTCACCCCCATGCTGTACCAACCCCGTAAGACCTTCGTTCATCTTCGGAACACAAATGAAGATATTTTTGATTAAATTTGAGAGCTGTATAACTACCACATTGGCTCCTGAGGGACTGGCTCTTGACGGCCCAGAAAGTCAATGAAGAAAATGTTTAAATATCCCAAGTGACTACCGTGGCTCAACTATATGTTTATCAAGCGACGAGAATACTTTTTGTGCGAAAAAACAATAAAAAATAACGAGTTTATTCGACTATTTCTTTTCTTCCTTGTAGGCCAGAACGAGACTTCCTTATAGATTTCCACGACGCATACGCGAGAATTGCGATCTGAAGTAGTGTAAGCTGTTGTATTCAGATCGCAATTCTCGCGCATGCGTCGTGGAAATCTAAGGAAGTCTCGTTCTGGCCTACAAGGAAGAAAAGAAATAGTCGAATAAACTCGTTATTTTTTATTGTTTTTTCGCACAAAAAGTATTCTCGTCGCTTGATAAACATATAGTTGAGCCACGGTAGTCACTTGGGATATTTAAACATTTTCTTCATTGACTTTCTGGGCCGTCAAGAGCCAGTCCCTCAGGAGCCAATGTGGTAGTTATACAGCTCTCAAATTTAATCAAAAATATCTTCATTTGTGTTCCGAAGACGAACGAAGGTCTTACGGGGTTGGTACAGCATGGGGGTGAGTAATTAATGACTTAATTTGCATTTTTGGGTGAACTAACCCTTTAAAGGGATAGTTCCTCCAAAATGTAAACTCTGTCAGTAATTACGGTTAGGGTTAACCCCACCCCTAATCCTACCAATCTCCGCCCCCTGATCCCAAACCCCACCCCTAATCCTACCAATCTCCGCTCCCTGATCCCAAACCCCACCCCTAATCCTACCAATCTCCACCCCCTGATCCCAAACCCCACCCCTAATCCTACCAATCTCCGCCCCCTGATCCAAACCCCACCCCTAATCCTACCAATCTCCACCCCCTGATCCTAACCCCACCCCTAATCCTACCAATCTCCGCCCCCTGATCCCAAACCCCACCCCTAATCCTACCAATCTCCACCCCTGATCCCAAACCCCACCCTAACCCTACCCATCTCCGCCCCCTGATCTCTAACCCCTGATCCCAAACCCTACCCATCTCCACCCCCTGATCCCTAACCCCACCCCAAATCCAGGATGGGCTCTGACTGGCTGTCAATGTTTTTATCCTTCATCGGCTGAAAAAAAATCGTTCTAAAAGTGATTCCAATGTTTTTTTTCTTCTATATTCTGTGAACAATGAGTGTATTGTTGGTAAATTTTGTGTATTACATTTAACGATATACAGTCAAACCAAAAATGATTCAGACACCAGTAATAATGTTTGATATTCAACATAATTCATGTGTGAGAGTCGAACAGAAGGACAGACAAAACCAGTCACACATGCACTGAGTTCTGCTCATGTTCCTCACCACTAGAGCCAATAAACTGTGATGATGTGAGAGATGTTGAAGGTGTGCGAGTAAACTTTGGTTTGACTGTAGTTTCCTCTGTGCCGTTATACTACAGCTGCGTTGTTACGATTTTTAAAACTATATTTGTATTGTCTTTTAATATAGTGTTTTCCCTCAGATCTCTGTGATGTCACCGGGCGACCTGGTGAAAGTGCGTCTGCAGTGTCAGACCGAGAGCCGGCGCGGTGGATTGAGTCACGGTAAGCCCCGATACAGCGGGCCGGTCCACTGTTTGCTGAGCATCGCTAAACACGAGGGCGTTTCGGGGCTTTACAGAGGAGCGCTTCCTCTGGCCTTCAGAGACGGGCCTTCGTTCGCCACGTACTTCCTGACCTACAACACACTGTGTTCCCGACTCACACCAGCGGGACAGACAGAGCCGGGTGAGAGCGCACTTCAGCACACTCGAGCCGGTTAAACCTTCATCCTTCCCTCACTCTCTGGAAAGGCGCTTGCACACTGAGACTGACATTTTCGAATGCGTTTTTCCGTGTTTGTGATTCGCTGGCTCTGAATCGTCAAAACACCGTTCAAACTGCTTGAGCTACGGATGCGGAAAACGCAGAAAATTTAACCCGATACGATTTTTTTATGACGGATGAATTTAAAAAAAAAAATTTTTATGAAGTTTCGGAGGCGTTGTGCAAGCGTGATCGATATAACGTGAGGTCGTATTTATTTTTAAATGTGCAAAATTTCGGACTCCGTGTGCAAGGGCCTCTACACATCCCTCCCTCGTGAGTCAAAATGACCCGAAACCCTTAAAAATTACACTTAATTTTTTTTTGTCCAGAAAGCTTATTTTATTTTAATTCGATAAAAAAATTTATTTTATTTACCTTTTTTATCTAAATTACTAGATTTGAGTAATAAATCAATCAATAAATAATTGAAGCACATTCCTCACATTCTTTCAACTTTAAATTTAAAATAACTCACAATTTCGTGCATAACCCTTTTAATTCAACTCTAAATATCTTGCGTTGAGTGTTTCTGCTGACCTCTTGTGGACTCTGCATAGGCTTATGGCTCTATATGGAGCAGATGAGCTGTTCTTCTGGGTCCTAGAGTCAGTTGTGTTCAGTGTGCATTCAGATACACATGTAGACATTATAAGATCATTGTTTGGTAAAGTTTTAGCATTTTAGTTTGAATTTTCCATGTGAACTGAAGCATTCCTCGCATTCTGTTAATTCCTAAGGGGGTCAAACCGAGAGAGTGGCCGGCTGGTCTGGGTTAGGCTTGTCTGATCTGGTTTAGCCTGGTCTGATCTGGTTTAGTCTGGTCTGATCTGGTTTAGTTGGGTCTGATCCGGTTTAGTCTGGTCTGACCTGGTTTAGTCTGTTCTGGTTTAGTCTGGTCTGACCTGGTTTAGTCTGGTCTGACCCGTTTTAGTCTGATCTGGTTTAGTCTGGTCTGATCTGGTTTAGTCTGGTCTGACCCGGTTTAGTCTGATCTGGTTTAGTCTGGTCTGACCCGGTTTAGTCTGATCTGACCTGGTTTAGTCTGGTCTGATCTGGTTTAGTCTGGTCTGACCCGGTTTAGTCTGACCCGGTTTAGTCTGGTCTGTCTGACCTGGTTTAGTCTGAGCTGATTTGGTTTAGTCTGGTCTGACCCTGTTTAGTCTGGTCTGACCTGGTTTAGTCTGACCCGATTTAGTCTCATCTGGTTTAGTCTGGTCTGACCTGGTTTAGTCTGATCTGACCCGGTTTAGCCTGGTCTGATCTGGTTTAGTCTGGTCTGACCTGGTTTAGTCTGATCTGGTTTAGTCTGGTCTGACCTGGTTTAGTCTGATCTGACCCGGTTTAGCCTGGTCTGGTCTGACCTGGTTTAGTCTGGTCTGATCTGGTTTAGTCTGGTCTGACCTGGTTTAGTCTGGTCTGATCTGGTTTAGTCTGATCTGGTTTAGTCTGGTCTGACCTGGTCTGATCTGGTTTAGTCTGGTCTGACCTGGTTTAGTCTGGTCTGATCTGGTTTACTCTAGTCTGATCCGGTCTGCGTTTGTGTTGTCAGACTGGACTGTGGTGCTGCTGTCCGGTGGAGTCGCAGGAATGGCCGGCTGGTCTGTCGGGACGCCGATGGACGTGATTAAAGCTCGTCTTCAGATGGACAGGAGATATCGAGGACTCGTCCACTGCATCACAGAGACCCTGAGGAACGAGGGCCCCGGGGTTTTCTTCAGGAGTCTGGGAATAAACTGTTTGCGAGCGTTTCCCGTGAACATGGTGGTCTTCGCCGTGTACGAGGTCAGTGTCCGTGTGCTCCGGACCCCGTCTCTGGATCGGCTCTCATGATCACATTATTTTCTTACTGTATTTAATGTGCAGTAACATCATGCAGAGGACTGAATCTCACGAAGATGAGATATTATTTGCTTGAAATTTGATTTTTTATGGGTAACACTTTATTTTACAGTGTCCTTGTTACATATGGTACATGCTCTTATCATAGTAATAACAGTAAGTTATGCATAATTACATGCCACTAATCATACTCTAACCCTATAGTACACATGTAGTTGCTTAATATCACTCAGTACTAAATATATAATTACATTGTAACAATGAGGTTACACTTCATTTTAAGGTGTCATTGTTACAGTGTAATTATATATGTCGTAGTTACATTGCACTTATTCAAATAAGTACTGAGTAATATTAATTAAGCATGAACTTACTATAGTTACGGTTAGGGTTTGGTTTAGGGTAAATTACTTCAAATTATGCACTAATTATTACTATATATGCATGTATTAACTACGCCAACTTAAAATAAAGTGTTACCAATTGTTTTGTTCAATATTTTGCACAATGTATTTTAAAAAAAAAACAAAGCTAGAATTAGTTATATTTTACCTCAAATCAAAAGGAAAAATATTTTTTTATTAAGATATTTTGCATGATATAGTATTATGTCGTCGTGACGAATAAGAATAACTGTATTCCCATTAATGGAGAGTATTTAAAATGTCTCTAAAACTCATAAAGCAATAATAATGAGAAATTGAGATACAATTGTCACCAATATAATCTCTCAATGCACCCCGAAATTGTATCTTTAAATAAGATGCATGACGCATTATTATGTGCTGACTTTACAATCCAAAAAGTATTAATATTTAATCATTAAAAAGATACGAGCAAGAGTGTAAATCTGATATCGATTTTATACAAAAATTACAATAAACGCTTTAGACTCAGAATATTGTGTTTTTGCTGTATTTCCCCAATGAGAATAAATCTAACGGCACATTTATGAATGAACATATCAAGCGTACTCATTGTTTACTTGTTTTGTGGTTTATTGTAAATGGTTTGTGTTATATGTTGCTGGGATCTGTATATTGTGGATAATTGTATATCTTTGGTTTATTTTGTTTTTGTGTGTTTATACTGTTTCTGGGACGCTTTACTTGTATATATTTCTTCACTACTGGATTGTTGGATTTTCGGTGCACTTGTGTGTAAATAAACACCATCATTCTCTGAGTTATTACGGGTCGATCCATCATTTTTGTGTATTTTTCTGAGTCGAGGTGACCCAGTCCAAACGTCTATACGGCTTCACATGGTTAAAGAGGTAAAACACATTTATATAGAGACTATTTCAAGTGAAATAAGAGATAACATTCTTAAATAATAAAGTCATATCAGTTGCATTGCCTGAAAGGTTTGTGGGCTCTGACGGTTTCTGTGAAAGTAAGCACGAGTTAATAATATATAAAACTATTTGACATCACACGATAATTTAGAGACAATAAATGCTGTTCTTTCCGTCTAACTATAGGGCTACTTATTTAATATTCATCTGCTGGTTAATGGCGCCATCTAGTGGCTTCTACAGGTCTCTCTCTCTCTCTCACACACACACACACACACACCTCTGTCTGTCTTGATTCCACTGTTTAAGCCATCACATGAAAAGTTTTGATGGACTTTACTTGTGTTTGTGTCGAGCCGGCGTGATGTTTCCACTGGACTAAAGGTGAAAGTAGCTTTTGTTGAGTTTAGGGGAGGGAATAAAATCTAAATCTCTTGAGCTAAACCATTCAAAATACCACCCAGTTAATCCCAAGCACATACAAAAGTATACAATTAGAGCATTTTGCATTCATTTAGAGCAATATTACATGCTGTTACAAAGCTGTATGCATGTAAGAGTTACTAAATACAAAAAGTTCACAAGACAAACTTTGACTTTGGTTTGAAAAAGCCTGATCAGAAAGTTTGAATACGTTTCAATGGATAGACAGATATATAGATAGGCAAATGGAAAGATCTATCTATCTATCTATCTATCTATCTATCTATCTATCTATCTATCTATCTATCTATCTATCTATCTATCTATCTATCTATCTATCTATCTATCTATCTATCTATCTATCTATCTATCTATCTATCTATCTATCTATCTATCTATCTATCTATCTATCTATCTATCTATCTATCTATCTATCTATCTATCTATGTTGCTAGCATGAATTCCCAGGTTTTAACATTGCTAGCATTAAAGGAGTAGTTCACTTTTAAAAAAAATCTTTAGCTGATAATTTACTCACCCCCATGTCATCCAAGATGTCCATGTCTTTCTTTCTTCAATCGAAAAGAAATGAAGGTTTTTGATGAAAACATTCCAGGATTTTCTCCATATAATGGACTTCAATGGGGTCCAAACGGTTCAAGGTCCAAAAGACAGTTTCAGTGCAAACTATTCAAAGGGCTTTAAACGATTCCAGACGATGAATAAAGATCTTATCTAGGACCCTTTGAGTCATGACTCGAAAATAGATTCGTTCATTTTGAGTTCAAACGAGTTCAAACAGGAGAGTCACAAACGCGCATCACAGAACAGAACAAGGCGAGCATTTGAGCTTATAAAACTTTTGTATTTATTTTTTAAATGACGATCATTTCGCTTGATAAGACCCTTATTCATCGTCTAGTGTCGTTTAAAGCCCTTTGAAGCTGCACTGAAACTCTCATTTGGACCTTGAACCATTTGGTCCCCATTGAAGTCCATTATATGGAGAAAATCCTGGAATGGTTTCATCAAAAACCTTCATTTCTTTTCGACTGAAGAAAGAAAGACATGGACATCTCGGATGACACGGGGGCGAGTAAATTATCAGCAAAAGTTTTTTTTTTAAAGTGAACTACTCCTTTAATTAGCATTGCTGTTAGCATGTTTTAACGTTGATTTCTCAAGCCAACAGATTTATAAAATTTAAACAAAAGAAATGATTGTAAAGTGCAACCGGAGCACAAAGTAAGCGAGAAAAGTTATGGCACGAAAACGAGCAAATGGAAAGAAGATCCAATCAACGATCAGCAGCTCGAAACACGACGTGTTCCCTTCGACGAATGTCGCTCTCCTCGGGAGTTCCTCAACATGTCTGAGGACCAACACTAACACCTCAATGTTGCCTTTGTTCTCCGCTTCTTCTCATAATTAAACCGGCGTGTCTTTCCTCCTTACGCAACACACACACACACCGCAATTATGAAACATCGACGGGTCCAGGTCTGGGAAACAAAGACGCCTGATTTATTCCTGAGATGTTTTCATGATTAAATCCGCAGAAATGTTCCCGGTCAGTCTCGGACATTCCTCTGCAGTTCTGCATTAACTCTAATAATAGATTTAACGGCTCTTTAAATAAAGGCTGTTTAAGAGCGGATTAAAATGATTGGGAATGGTGTAATTAACATGCAGCGGTGAGGTTTGAACTTGGCAGAGCTTCCACACACACACACTGAACCCCTTCTCTTGTTTGAGGATCGACTCGTTCGGTCTGGACTCTGGAGAATAAAGATAAAAAGCTCAAGCACAATTAGTTCGGATTCAAATGTATATTTATTTATTCATTCATTCATTGTATTTTTCAATTCAGGTTTAATCGCTTCGCTTACTTTATTTTGTAAGACTTTTTCCCCGTTATTTTGATTCAGTTACTGTTTGGGAACAGGAAGATATAGCCTCACTTTTTATTCATCGAGGACGCGTTAAATTGATCAAAAATTGATGTTACAAAAGATTAAACGGTAAAAAATGATGGTGATTTTAACAGTAAAAGACTGTAAAAATGCTACAGTGAAAAACTGTTAATTGGTTAACAGAAAGTTTCCGTACTATATACGGTAAATAACTGTGATATATATAATGGTACATTTAATGTAGTTTTACAGTAAAATACTGTTAAATTTACAGTTTTTGGAAGTGAAAAAAAAGAAGTCATTGTATAATTTACAGTGAAAAAATGTAAATTGACTTTCCCACAATTCCCTGTGTGAGGTCACATTTAATGTATTTTAACTGTTTATTCATAATTTTCTTAGTTTTTTTCTTATCAGTTATGTTCATTAGGGTTTTATGTTACATTTAACGTTGTTAAATTAATTCTTATTTCATTTTTTAAATTTCAACATGTTACCATGATGGTGTTTAATGTTTGTGTGAATGAGACTGTGCCGCTTCCATATAGTAATATGAACTCTCTTGTGGAAGAGCTGATAATGATGAGCTTTGATTGATCATTTGACTCTCATTATTGCTGTGATTGACGGCTGTCGGTGTATTGCAATTGAACAAAACAGATATTAATACTTCAAAATGTCAGTAAATTAACATTATATCAAATAATGAAATACGGTTTATTGCTGTAAAATTAAATACGGTCAAAGTCTGTAAAACCTAAAATGTTGCTACTGTACTTTTAACAGGAAAACCCGTAAATTTAACGGATTTTTTTTTTACAGTGTATGTTTCAGATAAATGCTGTTCTTTTGAACTTTCTATTCATCAAATAATCTCGAGAAATTAAATGCATCTCAGTTTCCACAGAAAAATGACTGTTTTAACACTAATAATAATCATAAATGTGTGTTGATCATCAGATCCTCATATTAGAGTGATTTCTGAAGGATCATGTGACACTGAAGACTGGGGTAATGATATAATGAATACAGTTTTTGAAAGAGTCTCTTCTTCTCAAAGCTTCTTTTATATGTTCAAAAAATACAGTTAAAATTACAAAATATTATTATAATGTAAATCATCAGTTTTCTATGTGAATATACATTTATTCCTGTGATTAAAGCTGAATTTATCATCATTACTCCAGTCTTCAGTGTCACATGATCCTCCACAAATCACTCTAATATGAGGATCTGATGATCAACACACAGTTATGATTATTATCAGTCATTTTTCTGTGGAAACTGAGATACGTTTAATTTCTCAGAATTATTTGATGAATAGAAAGTTCAAAAGAACAGAATTTATCTGAAACATAATCTTTTGTAACATAATAAATGTCTTTACTGACACCTTTGGTCAATTTACTGTACACACCTATACACACACACACAATTTCCTCTGTATCAGTTTAGGCCTTGGTCTCTCTCTCTCTCCTCAGGCTTTCTCAGCAGGGAGGCGCTGACGTTCACTCGTCCACAGATGAAGTGTAATTCCTCCCTCGTTCCCCTCCTCCGTCTGCGAGTTCACCCGAGGACGAGGATGAAGAGAACAGAGCCGATCTGGAGAGAACAACACACACATATATCACCCATATATATATATATATATATCTTCAGCTCGCTTCCCTACTCTTCCTCCCAAAGCCGTCCGTGTTCTCTCCTTCCACACATTAATATAGATTGGCTTTTCCCTTCATCTGAGCTCAATCAATCTTAATGTCCTGAACGTCACAATGATAAATAAATGATATTTCCTTATATAAACTGGCGGTTGTTGCATAATGACACGTCTCGCGTCTCTCGAACAGTGAAGCTTCAAGCTGGCTCTGAGGATAATCATTCAGCCGTTCCCATGGTGACGGACGGTTGCTGTCGATTACAGCGTTCAAGCACACACACACACACACACACACATCAGAACATGAGATCACATGTTTAGAGACAACATGCGCTGAATTCAGTCATAAAAACAACCAATATTTGAGTTTTTATATTGATATTGTGTTAGACTGTCAACTGTCGTGCCATCAAACGTGCTTCGGGTTTGGTTGATGATACTTAAAACTATTCATTTTTAAACAATTACTAATAACATTAACTTCATTAGTGCAAGTTTATTTTATTTGATTATTTTAGAGACATTTTTGTTCATTTTAATGTTACAAGTTTATATTTTATTTGATAATTTTGGGGACATTTTTGTTCATTTTCATGCATTTTTGCCACAAGTCGCTGTTAATTTCAGCCCCTAGTGTGTTACAATAAATTTTTGCTGTTTATAACTTCAATTTTGGACATTTTTGTTCATTTTAATGCTATTTTTGCCACAAGTTTGTTTTACCTGATAATTTGGAGACATTTTTGTTCAATTTAATGCCATTTTTGCCACAAGTTTATATTTTATTTGATAATTTGGAGATATTTTGTTCATTTTAATGCCATTTTTGCCACAAGTTTATATTTTATTTGATAATTTGGAGACATTTTTGTTCATTTTAATGCCATTTTTA